AAATTTGGCAAGTCCGCTTTCGACATCGCTTTGGACAAGAAAAATCCTGAAACTCTGTTGCTGCTGCAGGTGGGCCGAAATCCCAGCTTTGGGTCTTTTGAGTGTCCCTCAAAAGTGGTTTAGTTGTCATCTGGGGCTGAATCTTTGGGATTCTGGCTTTAATTGCGCAGGACACACGAGGACACTGGACTTGGGTACTTATTTGAGTTGTTTGCACCGTGGCTCTCTGCTCTGGCAGCCAAGAGGTGTTTTTGGCCTGGCTCCATGAAGCCCCCAAGGCTTTCTCTTTTCCAGGAAGCGATGCAGAATCCGGTCACCGCCAACCCCGAGAGGGTGCATGATGTCCCAGGCTCTGTGACGGTGACCCAGCCCTTCATTCTGGTTTCCGGAGAATTGCTGAACCTGGCCAGCCTCGTTTCTTCAGTGGATACCAAAGCAACCTCAGGCTGGAGCATAATCCCTCCCTCCAACCCTGGCTAAGGGGCAGGAATAGGGGCCCACCTTGTTAAGAGGTGTTAAGAGGGCCACCTCCTTCTGGAGCATTTTCATGTTTTGACTCTCTCTCTCTCTCTCTCTCTCTTCCCTGCGTAGGAGATTCCATTGTTTCCAGGGGGCGGTTTCTAGACTCTGCCACCTCTGTCCTCGCTACCCTGGCAGCCATCGCAGAGGCCTCTGGCCCCATTTCCAGTGCCAACCAAATTCCTGGTGGGTTCAAAGGGGCCATCAGGCTGGCAGAGGGAGTGTTGACATGGGTGGGTTGCAGTTGGACACAAAAAGCTTTTTTTTTTCTTTTTAGAAATTTTGCAAGTCACGTCTGAAACAAGAAGAGCGTCAAGTTTTTAGGGCAGTGTTTTCCCAACCTCAGCAAATTTAAGACATGAACTCCCAGAATTCCCCAGCCAGCCTGAAGTCCACATGTCTTAGAGCTGTCAGGGCTGAGAAACAAGCTTTAGAATAACGCAATTTTCCATTCGTAATTAAGGGAAGAAACCTTAAATTTCCTGCAAATCGCTTGTGCTTTATTTCCACCAGGAGAGCAAGACATTTTTATTTTATTTTATTTTTTAAAAAAGCAAAAACTGCCATTTTCTAGAAATGTCCAGCAGAGCCTTAATTTTTGGTGAATCTTTAGAGTCTCGATTTTACACTGGTTTAAAGACTTCCTCCTCCATCGTTGCAGCTGTCTCGGGAGAAATTGTGGAAACTCTACCAGCCGACGCTTCCCTCCGGCAGGCGGTCGGTAGCGGCCAGCACGTCCTCACACTTGTGACGGAGGGCGTCCCTCTGGGTCATCTGCCGGCCGCTCACCTGGGGCAACAGTTCATTGTAATGATGCAGAAGGAGCAGGAAGGTAAGGGGCCTCTGGGGAGGTCCTGCCAAACAGCCTTCCTTGATTAAGGTTACCCAGGTGTCTGGACTGCCATACCCATAAGCCTGGGGCCGATGGGAGTTGCGGTGTTTGAGGCTGAATGCTGGGAAGATGGCCAGAAGAAGAATATCATTAAGCATTATTTTTAATGCTGGACAATTATTTTTGTCACTGGCTTTATTTTTATTTTGGTGCCAGCCAACCTTCTGATTCTGCCCTTCTCAAAATCTGAGCGGGAGGACTGGAATTTATTAAAAAAAAAAATTATCCTGGTTGTAATTCTCCCACCTCTTTTACCTGCCTGCATTGCATCCAATCCCTCCCTGTTCTACTAAATTTCTCTACTGACTCTCTGTATTTTATTGTCTCCCTTTTTCTCCTCTGCCCCGCCTTAATTTTCAGTTCTGATTGTGCCTGCTGGTCAGGAGGCGGGAGGACCCCTCCTCAAGACCCCGAGCGAGAATAACCACCTGGGCGAAGCAGAGAAGCCGCCCGCCAAGAAAGTCAAAATGAAACCAGCGGGGGATGGAAAGGAGGAGGAAGGGAGAGAGGTAAGAACTACCACTCCCCTTTGCACACCTAAGTTCCGAATTGGTGCCCTCCCAAAAGTGCTGGACCTCTGCTCCCGTCTTCCCCAGCTGGTGCGTCAGATAATCCAGACCGCCAGATACGCAAAGCTGGAGAAGCCAAAGGGGCCAATTTGAGATTCAGGAGACTTGGTTGTGGGTTGAGATGACGCCCTCAACTACCCCATGTAGTCGGCTTGTGTCTGGTTTTCCCCTTAGTGCAAATCCAGCCCTTTCAGGTTTGTTAACCAGGATTCATAGCTTAAGGAATCCCAACAGTGAATCTGTTGTTTAGAAAAAACCAAGGCAAGCCGCCTTCCTTCGTAAATTCAGATGTTTGTGCAACGTGCTCCCTGCAGGGCCCACCTCCTCTCTCTTTGCAGAACGTTTTTCCCCACTTCTCCCCTCCCCACAGTGATGAAAGCCCTGACTTTTCCCCCTAGGATGGCCACGCCAAAGAAGCTTTGCAAGAGCAGCTCCGGGAGGCCGATCACCAAGCGGCAGAATACCGAAGCCGGCTGCTGAAGAAGGAGCAAGAAGCTGACCTCCACCAGCAGAAGCCGGTAACCATGAGCCAGCAGGAGGCCAGCACGGGAGAAGGGCCTTCCCAGGAGGAGCTCAGGGGGGCTGACACCCTCGAGGTGTCTTCGGGAGAAATGGGGGGCTCCAGGCAGCTCCTGGCCAACACAGCCACCGAGACGGTCACTTCTTAACCCCCAGGGCGTTGTTTTGCCACGCTTGAGAGAAAAGGCAACCAAAGTTTTGCCCTAGGAAAACTGGACATGGGGGGATATGCCAGCAGGTTCTGGAGGCTGCCCCCTCCCCAACCCCATAATGGGCTCATTCTGGGGGTTTGAAGCCCCCAGGCGTCTCTATTCTGTTCAAGGACCCCAGAGTCCCCTTAGTAAGATCCTCTTGCAGGCCCTGTCTTGGGAAAGGCCCTGTGTCTTGGGGCCGTCCCGGAGTGCAGGAAGAGGGAGAAAAGCCCAGGAAAGACCCCCTAAATCAGTTGAGAGCCAAGAGCAGCCACAGGGATCTGGCCAGTCCAGACAGAGCCAGAAATGTTGTCCAGAGGCCACATTCTTACAGTGCTCAAAGGGAGAAGGGCTCCACTAGCCCCCACCCTAAATGACACATCTACCCCAAATCCTAAAAAAAGCTTGCAAAATTGCAAAAGGAGGGGATCTCAGGACGGCCCCCCTGCTTGCAAATGGCCCTCAGCTTAAGCCGTCATGCTGTTGTGTTAGACAGACCACTCTTCTCAACAAACCCTGTTTGCTGGCTTATAGGAACGTGGCGTTTGTGGCCTTCCCACTGCTCCGTTGACTGAGTTAAGAAGGGCTGGGCCATCGTGGTGCAGCCACATCTGAAGAACCCAACCCCAGTGTAGAGGGGCACATCTGACTCAGGGTTTGGCAGCTTTTAAGACCTGTGGGTTGAATCGTGGGGGATTCTGGGAGTTGAAGTCCAGACCGGGATCTTTGCACACGTCCAAGGCCGCCCAGTTAGGATTGTGAGTGTGCCAGCAGGGAGGGAGGGCGTCTGAAGTCGCAAGGCAGCCGCTGTGGAAAACCAGCCGTTTTGTTTTTGAAGCAGGCGTTATTCTCCAAAGAGACCCCTGTCCACCTTTGCACGAAGGGCTCCGAATGAAAAGTAGTGCCTTATGGGTCCTTAACGGGGCAGGACTCGCAAGGGGTGCGTTTCCCCACAATGCCAGCCGCGAGTGTCGCCCGCCTCTTTTAGGTCAAGTAAAAGATTCCCTGGGCATCCGATAAATTCTGCTTTTCAAACGGCTTTACGTACAGGGGTGTTTTGTTTAGGAAACGCAAAGGCCCTTTTAGACCTTGAAACATCCGTTCCTGCCAAGTGCAGCCTCCCTTCCCTCTCGCCCTACCTGGTTAATCAGGGGCCAAGCATTACCTGCCCCTTTTCCTTCCAAAGCCACAGAACGAAGCTGTGGAAACTTTGCCCCGAGCTCAAACCAGGATGGGCAGAACCTCGTGTCTCCGCCAGGCCCGAGCAGGTAGACTGCCCCCGTGCGTGGAGGTTCCACCGAGGCAGCCACACAAACCCGGCTTGGGCTGGCCATCTCCACCACTGCCTTCCCCAACCCCCTTTCAGGCCAGGCGGTAGTCCAGGGTGTCTTTCTCCACGTAATCGGTCCAGGTGGAGGGAGGCATGCTCCGGTAGGGGTCCAGGAGGATCCGGAAGCAACGGACGATCAGCACCGCCAGGAAGACGAAGAGGAAGAAGAGGAAGAGGAAGGTTGCCTTCTGCTCCAGGGAGAGGGTGGGGTCAGGCCGGAGGGCGCTGGCCAGGGCGGGCAGGGAGCTGCCCAGGCTGGTGGCCATGAGGACTGGCGCCCAAGCGAGTGGCCGGCTGTGTCCGCAGCACCGCCTGGAAAGGGGACAAAGACCCCATTAGCAGTGGGGTGGTGGTGTCTCTGCCGCAGGTGAAGAGCCAATGAGGAGTCCACAGCCAGACAGGCGGCAAATGTAAGAAAGAAATTTTAACAAATGGGTGCAAGGTGGGGTCTTTCCCCTCACCTGGGAGCCTTTCATGCCCTTCACCTGTGGCATCTGGCTAAGATGTACCTTAATACAAGCCCAAAATGTTGGGAATACCAACAAGCTGATGGTACCTTCTATCATATGTGGTGGTTATGCCCCGAGACTGGGACCTATTGGACTAAAATTAAAAATTGGATGCAGGAAATTACAGGACATCAGGTTGAACCTAAACCAGAACTCTTAAAGATCAATATCCAAAAGAAAAAAAATATATTATCTTACATATTCTAACAGCAGCCAGAATAGCTTTCGCACAAATATGGAAAGGACCCGACACTCCCACAGGGGATTTGGTCCTACAAAAAATGATGGAGTGTGCGGAAATGGACATGCTTACATTAAAAATGACAGAGAAAGAAGACTCCGAATACTATTCAATCTGGCACAAATGGTATGAATGAGTAGAGAATAGATAGAAGATATAAGAAAAGGAGATTAATTATAAGAGACCTCAAGAAAATGATACGTAGATATATAAAATATATAAGTATATAAGATAGAACTAAATATAAAGAATTATTGGTGGATGTATATTAAATGTATTAGGACTTACAAGATAATAATAATATGATTTGAACTGTATTGGTGGAAAACACAATAAACATTTATTTTTTAAAAAATGCCCTTTCATTGCAATACTGACGGAAGAGCATTTGAACCCGTTTTGGGTGCTTTGACCCCCAGCCCAGCGAGGAGGGTGAGAGTTTGGGGAGGGGTCTTAGGTTGCTTTCTTGACCTCTCCTCTCTCCAGGGGAAAACACTTTATTTTAAAGCTTGTTCAACGCTACTCTAAAATTTAAAAAAATCCCCTTGAACAAGGAGCATGTTAAGAATGCAACCCTCAGCTGCAAGCAGGAGGGCATTTTTAAGGCTGGGAGAGAAGAGGTGGCAGGTGGGGCATGGGGGCAGCCCCACAGCTGTCACTGACACGGGACCCTTCCCGTCAAACCATCCCACCCCATGACCTGCGCCGTTCGAGTGCCGGCAACTCCAATTCAGTCCCCCTGAAATGAAAAGGTCTCACCTGGAGGAAAGCTGAGCCAACCTTTAGCAATGCATTGCCGCCAGCCAGGTAGACGGCCCCCTTCTTTGCCCAGCCGTTCCGGGGAATCAAGGCTGGGTGGGATTAGCACACAAGCCGTTGCCGGCGGCTTCCCGCATCTTCCTCACTGATGGACAGCAGCATACGAAGGCAGGGAGCAGCGGAATTTGTCCCAGCTGGGGCTGGGGCTGGGGAGGGCAAGGGTCTCCCTCTTTTCCGGGGGTGGGGGCTGCTTCCTCCGGTGCCCACGCGTCCCTGGCCAAAGCGCCCAAGATGCTTCAAAGCTGTTGCCAGGGGCAACCAGTTGCTATGGAGATGACGAGCAAACTCTGGACCAGACAGAAGATGCCGTAAATGTTGCAGCTCCCCATCCGAGGCTAAACTTTTGGGGCGAGTGAAGAACAGCGGACGGCCTTGCTCTGAGCGGCCCCCCAGGAAGCCAATGATGGCCAAACCCTAACCCTGGATTAACAAACCACGATTGCAGCGTTCAAGGGACACGCCTCGCCCAACCATACGCACAACACAATTTTCAAACCTTGGTGTGGCCTTCTTGGGCACAGGAGGGTGAATTCAGAGCAGATCAAGAAAGGTGGTTGGCAATCTGCCCCCCACTCCGCCCCCCCAAAAAGAGGATAAAGTTTGGTGGGATTTTGGCCTCCAATCCATTGATTGCACGTCACAAAAACATCCAGAAACTTCTCAAAGATTCCTAGTGTGATGTTTTCCTTTTGCAGCGAGAGAGAGAGAGAGAGAGAGAACTGTGTTTGCAGGTCTCAAAAAATCCAAGCCATTTAGCAGAAAACAAACCTGGTTTAGTCATCCTGGTTTGGTTGTTGTTGTTTTTTTATGACCGACCCGGGTTGGTGCATCTTTGAGCCAAGGCCAGTCGCAAGAAAATGGGACCCTGTGTGGCCAAGGCCAGCCCCTCTTCCAAATTTGCATCCTTGGGGGCTCTTCCTGAGAGCGGAGCCAAGCAGCTGGAAGACCCCAGACCCGGCTAGACACTCCAAGGGAGCCTGCGGGTGCCAGGGAAGTGTGTGACACACAAGGGGCCGCCAGGTGGCACTGCCAGGCCAGGTTTGCCGCTTTGGAGGATGCCCAAATTTCTCAGCCATTGAGGGAGAAGGAAAGGGACCCCCGATTTCCTGGTGGTTGTTGTTTTTTAATTCGGCAAAAAGTGCTTCTCGCTCAAATCCTTGTTTTTTTTAAAAAAAATTGGATGCACAATTAAAGACCCTTTTCAAGGGACTTTTAAAGAGAGTTGTTTGGTGGCTGGCTTCCCTTCCCTTCTAAGAAACCGGTGAAGCTATGAAATTTATCATCTCCAAATACATGGCACCCCCAAACTTTTTTTGGGGGGTGGCCCCAGAATCCATGAAATGGAAGGAAGGAGAGGGGCGTTGGCTGGAGGATTAAGGAACCTCCACCCCAAATTCCTGGCTCTTCCTTTTGTTGCACCCACAAAGGTAGACTGCCCCTGAGGCCAGAGGCTCTCCGACTTTTGCATAGGGCAGGGCCCCCCCCTCGCAATCCAGCATCCTGCTTACAAGAGCTGGCCAGATGTTGTGTAGCAAGAACCACTCCGTAACTCTTCTCCTCCTTTGCTGCTTTCCACCAATACAAGTGCAGGAAGGCAGGAAAATTCTTAGAAATGGCCTCCTCGCTCCCTTCGCCTCCCTCTGCCCAGCCCCGATGGGCAAGCTCCCAAGTCATCAACCACATCTGTAGGCCTCTTGGCATAAAGAGAGAGGAGGAAGAAACATCTGGCAACTTCGCGCACGCACACACACAGAGGTCTAACTTGGTACTGTCTCCCCAGTTTTGCAGGAAGTTTTGACCGTATTAATTCCGAAGAGCAGCGAAAACTGAATGCTGATGTTTAACACCAGCCAGCAAAGAAGCTGGTGTGTGTGTGTGTGTGTGTGTTGTTCCCCTCCCCCCTCCAGCCTTTAGATTTCATGTCCAGGCTTTGGAAATTGAATCTAAACTTCCTTTTGCTCTGCAACCCATTGAAGAAGAGAACAGGAGACTAATCGCCCAGCAAGGGAAAATTCTATTAGGGAATTTTCTGCAAAACCCACCAGCTTGGGCAAAAAAACCCTTTTTTCTCCTCTCCAGATGTGGATTCAGCGTTGTGTGTCCCGGCTGCTGTTTTTGAGGGGTCTGCGAAGGGAAGTTGTCCAGGCTTCGTAGGAGAAAAAGCGACGTTGGGGATCTGGTGAGCGTGTGGCAATGTTGGGAAAGTTGGGGTGTGGATGATGGGCGCAAGAGTTGCAGGCGGCTATCCTTGCCTTTTCTACGCAACCATCTCTGAATCCATCGCAGGAGCCCTCAATGGCTTCGCCAGCTGTGCGGCACCTCTGGCGTTGTCTGAATAGAAATGGTTTAAACAGCTGCCTTGGCTAAGGATCGGCTCTTGCTTCTCTTAGACTGTCCGTCTCCCTTGGGAAGACAGTCCCCATCGTGCACTGCCGGACTACAACTCCCAAAAGCCGGGGAACGTGATGTGGCAGGGCCGTTGCAGCCAACCCACCGAAGGACACCTCAATTTCCTCACCTTTGGAAGACGGCAAAGCCAACCGAGCTCTGGGGTTGCTCTAACCGCAGTTTGGAAAGTCCAAATTGAAACCATGAGGTCATTTCTGGCACAGCTCAGGTGTTTCTTTTGGGGTGGGATGGGGGGCTGTTTCCTCTCCTCAGCCACCTGCCCAATTTGGGGAGGGGGGTGTCCGTTAAGAGGAAGCAAGGAGTAAGAGACAGGAGGGGGGGAGGAGGGACTGTCTGCTTTAGCAATCAACCATTTTATTCTCCCAGTGAGCCAAGAGTGATGAGGGGGGGGGGGGACAGAAGTGGCCAGATGTGCTGCAGAGGCAGGAAGGGTGGCGAGCAGAGGCCTGGAAGGCTGCCAGATGTTCAGGGAAGCTGGAAGGGAGGGAGAAACCTTTGCCTAGGGAGACCCCCCCCCCAACCTGGAAACTTCCTTCCTGGAGTTGTAACCCAACTTAGTTGGAGAGAATCGGTTCAGGATAAGCAAATTAACCTCCAGGCGTTCTGGCCCGATCATGTGGGATGGGAATTGTAGTCCAGATCAATCCCTCGGACTGGACTGGTCTTCCTCCAGATTGTGGAGGGGAGCAAATTCGATCAGGAATCCAAAAGGCCAACAAGAGCATCATCATGATGCTGGCTTAGCAGGGGGTTGGGCTAGACGACCTCCAAGGTCCCTTAGAGCTCGAGGATTTTACACTGGATGGGGGATAATGGCCCAAGGCCCCACCTCTCTGTGGAAGATGATGGAGGGAGACAGATATCCCTACCCGCCCCCAGCCCCCCCCCAGAAGAATCAGTTCTTGATGGTAGGAAACGCAACCTGGGGGGAGGGGAAATATTATTGCTTTTTAGGAACACTCCTGTGGTCATCTAGACGGACCGCTGCACTGAAGAAGTCAGGAAGAGCCCCACATGCAGGGACAGTCTACCTTAGAAGTCAGTCCTGAGTGACCAGATGCATCTGAAAAGAAAGTTTGGAGCCTCCATGTTGTCCTGAGGACAGGCTGTCCTCTTTTAGCGACCACAATTGAGACCGATAATTCGGTCATGAAGCGAAGCGGTCACTTAGCGAAACTTCCAACTTTCCTTCGCTTGACCGAGTTGAGAAGTAGCACCAGAGCCAGGATCAGGAGCCCAGGGGCTTCTCCATCCTTGTCGTAATGGTGCACGGACGCTAAACAGGGCGCTGGGAACGCCCATTGTGTAGACACACTCGTCTTCAAGCACACCCATCCGGCTCCACACAAACACACACACACAAACACACCAGTGTTGGCCTGTGCAGGCTGCAAACGTCCCCGCTGGGTCTCCGTTCTGAACGGGGCGAATTCAAACCCCGTTTTAATTATTCAGCCTTCGTTGGGACCGAATTCGGTGCTGGTTTTCCATTATTATTATTTTTTACTTCACTTATACGAAGTTAAAACAATGAAATATACACATATATTAATACTTTATGTACATTTTTTTTAGAAAATAAAAGTGCCTGCAAGAAAACTCTCCACACACACGCTCCAAACTCCCCCCCCACCCGCCCTCCCCCCAAATATCCTGCCCACGTGGATTAAAAAAAACAAACAAACCAGAAAACGGCTTTCCAGCCCTCGGTGCGTTTCTCCGGATGGCACTTTCCAAAATATTTTTTTAAAAAAATGGGTTGACAGATTCTCCCTTCCTCCCCTTGGGTCACCCACCCCTCCCTATATTGGAGAGGGGCAGATTTGCAAGTACAACATCAAAAGAATTTACCCCCCCCCCCCCTCTGGTTTTACAAATCTTTTTTTTTTATTTTATTTTAAGGAGGCATATTTTTTTCCCCCTTTTGTTTTTGCAAGCCACCGCTGTGGAAAAGCTCCTCTCTGATTTTGGAGCCTGTGGGAAAACACCTGTATATTATTTTCATTGTTCGTGGGGACACCGTCTTGGAGATGAGTTTACAAGCCTCTTTGTGGACTAGCTCCTTGGGCAGGCTGAGTTTCACAAGCTGGGGCTTCCAAACTCAAGCCAGCCAAGAAATCGAGGCGTAGGTGAGCAGGATGAACCAGGCCGGCCCACAGGCAAAAATTCTGCCCGATTGAGGGGTGGGGTGGGGTAACTTGAGAAGAAAATTTGGGGACGCCCCCCCTGCCCCCCCAGGTACATATAATTAGATCTTCATCGGAGTCTCTCCGCCCCCAAATGGAAGCGGGGAGACTTTAGAAAAAGAAGAGAGGTCAACATTGGTTACAAGGAAGAACGCCGGCCAGGAGGGGCTGCTTGGGGGCCCAGAGAGGACCCTGAAGTTGTTCCCTCCCCGGAGGGAAGGGCTGCGAGTTCAAGTCCGGCCAAGGCTCATTTCTCAAAAGGCCATCCAAGCAACAGGAGCTGCTGTAATCTGCCCTTTTGGGAGAAAAACACACACACAAATACCAAAAGTGCTACAAAAACGGGCTGGGGGGGAGCCACCTTTGCACCCACCCCCTCCCCACGAAGCAAACACGGTTCTTTAACCCCATAAAAGGGGCAGGAGGTCCAGCCTGACCCGAGTTCAGATCATCCGGAGTCCTTTGAGCATCATCACTCCCGATTGGGACAGCCCGTTTGTTCTCTGGAAATGCCCACCACTCTCCAGCCGGCTGCACACAGGGACACACCCAGCCACCCCCATTTGAAAAGGATGAGCCCCCCCCCCTCCCCCGAAACCTGCCCTGGGACCCCTCCCGTTCCCTCCCTCCCCTTTCGCTCCACAGGGTGAAATCCACCCGTTGAACATTTCAAGTTTTTGCAAAATGTGAACCTTGAGTTTGGAGTCCTTCGGCCCCGTGGCGGAATCGAAACATGACCGTTTGCAGGTTGGCCGTGGCGGAGGGGAGGAGGAGGAAGGGGCCCCCCAGGGACCCCCCATTCCTGGCTGGTTGCTCGAATGGGTCTCTGCTCCCCCGGAGGATCTGGGCCCAAGCACTTTGCCAGCCTTTGGAAGCAGCCTTGGGTGCCCGCTGGCAGGGCGCGAGCGAGCCAGGACGGGCATCCTGGGTGGAGATTTCTTGCATAAGGAATGGGTGAGGGTGGGCCCTGCCGAGGCGTCCGCCTTCGAGGCCTCACCCGTGAGGTAGGCAGGAACGGCCAGCTTTGCTACTTTGGGGGCCCTTTGGGGCCCCCCGGAGGCCGAGGAAGCTTCTGGAAGCATCTCGCAGGAAGAGAGAAGGAAGCAGGTGTCCGTCCAGCCGAGCCCCACCGGTGCCACCTGCGCGGGACCTTCCCTTACACAAGGCACACTCGGGTTGTTAATCCCTGCGGGTGGACGTGGCCGAAGGGGACCTTCTCAGAGCGGCCGGCTCTGGGTTCGAGAGAGAGAGAGAGACACGCACGCACGCTTCTCCTTCCGTGGGGCTCAATAGTGGAAAGGGCCGGAGGGCTGGGCGGGCGGAGAGGAAGGCTGGAAGAGAGCCTCTGGGGTCATGCCCGGCTTGATCAGCGAGACGGACCGCCGGATGCCACCCCCGTGGCTGGGCAGCGGCCCCTGGTCGCCGTAGCTGTGCTGCCTGGCCAGGAAGATGGCATGGTGGTGGCCCTCTTGGGGCACGGAGCTCCCCGTGGAGTGCATGCGGGTCAGGAGGGCTGGGGGCAGCCTCCCCGCCTGGCCCAGGCTGTGTTGCCGCATCAGCAGCCCCCCGCCGCCCCCCCCACCCACGTTCACCAGCTTCGGGGCGCCACAGAGGGAATGTCTGTGGGCGACGGAGCGCCCGCCTCCTTTGTCCAGGCCCAAGGGCAGCGGAGCGTCCGGAGGGATGTCCAGCCGCCGAGGCAGCGTGGAGGTGTTGTAATAGGGGGCGCCCTCCAGGTTGGGCACCTTCGGCTGCACCCGGTTGGCAAAAGCCACGGCCGAAGGCGGGAAGGCGGCTGGCACGGAGGCCCCAGCCCCGTGGAGGTGCTTCAGCAGCTCTTCCAGGGTGGTGACCTCCATGCCTTTGGGCGGCGGGGAGGGACGCACCAGCACCCGCTCCGAGTTGGAGATCTTCTTCTCGTCCAGGTAGCCCCCCAGCGGGGTGTCGTAGCCATGCAGGGGCCCGGGGACCCCTCCCGGGCCGGGAAAGGAGAAGGTGTTGGGCACAGGGGCATGGAAGGGCATCCCCGGGGCATCCTTGGCGTTATTGAAGTTCTGGTTTTTCTCCCACTGGTTCCGGATGGCCTTCATGTTCTTGACCGGCAGCTCGGGCGTGGACTCCGGGGTGGGCAAGGCGGACAGCTCGGGGTGCTCTCGGACGCCGGGCTTGGCCGGGGCGCTGGGCAGCTCCTTCTCGCTGGGCAGCAGGGTGGTGTAGAGCTGAGGGGCGGCCGTCTCCATCAGCCCGTCCTTGGCCTGGCCGCCTTCCAGCAGGGCGTTCATCTTGGCCAGGCTGCGCAGGGAGAGCGGGCGCTGGAGGCCATTCTCGGGGTCCTTGCCGGGGTGCTTGGCGCGCTGCAGGCTGTGGCTGCAATAGCAGGAGACGAGCAGGCCGGAGAGGAAGGCCCCCAGGAGGAAAGCCACGAAGACGCAGCCGATCAGGAAGGTGAAGTGGACCGACTTGGCGCTGTCCTTCGCCTCCGACTCCTGCCTCACGCCTGAACCCGCAGCCAGCGGGGAGAGAAGAAACGGGGGTCAGGCGCTCTCCCCACGAAGACCAAACGCCCCGCAGGATCTCCGTCCCAGCTGAGCCAAGATCTCCAGGCCTTCCCAAGCCATGCAGGGGTGTCCCCACCCCCACCCCGACATTCCTGGGGCGCAGCTGCTTTTCCGTGCCCGCAGGGACCCCAGGGGGGGAGGATCAAACGGAGGACCAGGGATGGCAATGAGGTGGAGGTGTTAGTAGGACGGAGCAGGCTGGGCGTAAAGGCTCCCGAGATGCAGCAGGAGAAACAGGAAACTGAGATGGTGCAGGAAGACGACCCACTAATTCTCTCTTACACACACACACACACACACACACCGGCCATTGCTGCGCCTCCAAACTTTCTCGAGGGGCCAGGATGCTCGGGAAGGCAGCCATCGGGCTTCACCCCCAAGAAAGCAAGCCAATGTTGGCTTGCACAGTCCTTGCAAAGGTTCAACCTCCTGGGTTGCCCTGAGCACACCAAGAACCACTTCTGGATCCATCCGGAGGTGCCAAGGACCAGCACCAGGACAGGAAGGCAGAACCTTGCAACGGGGGTGTGTGGGGGTGTGCGCACAGGCGTGTTTACACACCCAGTGCAAGGTAGAGGGTTGATCCAGCCTAAAACCTGGGTGGCTAAAACGAAAGGGGAATGGAAACCCCTGGCTTATCAAGAGCTCCCTGTTCCCAAAACCAGGGAGAAATTCACCCCCAGAAGGATAAAAACGGGCTGCACCTTTTCAGGGAAGGTGGAACGGTGAAAAAAACTCTGCTGCTGATTAAAAATACCTTACAGAGGCAGTTCTCCCCCCCCCTTTAAAAGCACAACCGAGTTTAATGAGCTCGCTTCTTTTAAATTGTGCAAATGGTACAATTACATAATATGGAGATTCAATTAAAGGCAGCCAAACAGGGCAACAGAGCCCTCATTTATGCCACCCTTGTAATGACCCAGAATAATGTAATCCTGTTTCACGGGGGGTGGGGTGGGGAGAATATCTTGATTTTCGCTGTTCCCCGGGTGGAAAATTAAACTGGCTGACGTCACCCTTCCCTCTCCGCCCTGGGATCTAGAGACGGAACGCAAATGTCATTCCTGCATCGCTAATTTGGTTATATCGATTTTTAGAGGGAGGAAAAGTAGAATATTTTTGCTTCCTTGTTTCTTTCACCTGAACCTCTCACAGCAGTCTATGAATTGCCACCTGTACCTTTAAGGACCAAACCCAGCAACTTAAAAATCATTTTTATCACTTACATTTCTTTCTCTCTGCTTTCTGAATCCCCCCCCCCCCAATTTAAAAACAGGAGAACGGGACAATAAAAAAAAAACCCCCGGCTTTTATTCGCAGGACGATCAGCAAAACAGAAAGACGTAGTGATCGCATTCATACAGCACACGAAACCTGGCTAAAGTTAACCTGGTTTGTTTTATTTGTGACTTGGTGTGCTGGCAAAATTCCAACCCATTTGGATGGCTAAACAGATGAACCCAGAAAACGGCATATTTAACCTGCTTGCAGGACTCACCCAGAAAATGGGTGAGTTCAGCAAGGAGGTTAAATGCATCATGTGAACGCAGCCAGTGTGTACAAAGCTTGCACAGACAGCTCATGTGCAAGAGGGAGTGTGCCAGAAACGCTGCATAAAAGCGTTGGTGAGAGTGGGTTTTTTGTGTGTGCACGTGTTTTCAATTAAAAGAGGTTGAGCTGCTTTGCCTCCAAGGTGGCGTGTAGCTGGTTTGCCAATGTGGAAAAGGAATTAAAAACGGAGGGAAGGGTAGTATTTGGGGAGGGGGCCCGAGACGGTGAGTGGGAGACAAGTAGGAAAACAGAGGAAGGGGCCAAGGAGACGGCCGAAGGAGCGAGCCAAAGCACCAGGAAAGGGAAAAATGTTGGGAGGGAGGAAGAATGGCTGGACCTCTTTGTGTGTAAGTGTGCAAATGTGACACCAGATTCGTGAAGCCAGACACCACCAGCCCCACAGCCCTGCAGGCCCCTGAGTGGCTGGTTGGCATCCAGAAAAATGCCTTAAGATCTGGGGGGGGGGGGGGGAAAGAGGAACTATGAACTATGAATTGGAAAAAAAGCTCTTTCTTTGTGGGTCATTTGTGCCTTTTTCAACTCACACGTTTCCTAGGCTAACAAGGGCCCTGCGGTTTTGTTTGGTTTTGTTTTTCTTCCCCCATTTGCAACCAAGACTTGGAACCCACTCAGATTTCCAGCAAACTGCAAACATTTCCACAATCTGTCTGGAAACTTGATTTCTGGAGGTGTTTTTGTTTTTCAAGATTTTTAGAAATGTTTTCTTTTTCCAGTTGAACTTTCGGGACACTTCCGATATGGATAGGAATCGGCCCTGTGCCTCCGTTCTCCACGGACCCGATGGGTTAAGTTTGACTTTTTAAAAATTTATGTATATAAAAAAGTTCAGGAAAATGTTTTAGCCCTGGAAATCGGATCCTTGGAAATTAGAACTGTAGCCCCATAAATCTGGACGCCGTCAAAACGCAAAGAGAAGCAATTTCGCTTTTTAAAGGTTTCAGCTGTTAAATGCATTTTCAATCAGCCAGAATTTTTTCACAAAGCTTTTTCAAGACTCTGTGTGTGTGTGTGTGTGTGTGTGTGTGTGTGTGTGTGTGTGTGTTTTGGGGGATTTTTTTTGGTGGTGGTGAGGAAGAGATAATTTTCCATTCTCAATTTTGTTTGGCAGTGGCTTTTCTCTTGCGCTCCAGACCAGAAAAAAAATTAGTAGCTTGCAAAGTTTGGTGCCAACTCTGCAGACGTTTTATCAATCGCTGAATGTTTTATCGCCTCCTTTGCGAGGTAATAAAAGGGCTTTTTTTAAAAAAAAAAATCAGAGTTTTGGGGGGAGGTGAGAGAGCTGGAGATCAGGAAGGGAAAAAAAAAAAAAAGAAATCCACCAGTTTTATCTTGCTTGCCACAGCTTCCCCTGGTTTCTAGACAAAGCAACGTCTGGGGAATTTTATTTCTTCCCCCCCAAGCGCGTCTAAAGCAGCAAATTTCCACTGCACAAACTGTGCACAATGGCTCAGTTTGTGGAGAATGAGGTTGCAAGTTTTTCGGTCAATGCAAAACACCTGCAGACGGTTTCACCACAACACGCTACAACCCCCAACCACCCTCGAGATGTGTCGGGTCCTATTCCGAGAACATGCCCATCCTGAACAGCGGAGGAGGGTGGAAACGATAACCCCAAAGAGGTAGGGAAAGTTGGCCACCTGGCCACCGCCAACCCAAAACCTCCTAGCTTCGTGGCTGGCAAGGGAAATTTTGCAAAGCAACACAGGAAGACTCTGGCTGGAGCAAAATACGGACCACGCTGAAGTCACCACAATGGGAAGCGAATGCAGACGATAAGCAATCACAACAGGAACCCACAATGTTGGCTGGTTTGCAGGAGAAAAATTCAGCCCCTAAAATTTGAATATCCAGGCTTTCTGGTGAGGACAGCAAAAAAAACCATTCCACCTAACAATGGCTTTGGATTACAGCCCCCATGATTCTTAGCCTACTAGCAGTGGAGGGTGGGGTCTGTAGTCCCAACAAGAGAGAAAAAGACCTGGGTGGTGTTTGGCTGTGCAGGTTTTCTCCGCTCAGCGGGTGTGAAATAGCGCCAGGCTGGGTCCTTCCTTTGCAGGCAGGGGCATCTCACAATCCCCCCCCCCGCTGTCCCCTGTGCTTTCAGAGAGGTCAGAGGGCACCTTTGGGAGACCCCCCATGCTCCCCATGGCACATGCAGTGCGCAGGTCCAACGGTGCACAGCCTTCGCTCGCTCGCATGCCCCGACGTTCCAGGTCGTGGGTTAGATATTCCTGCCTGCTTTAAGTTAGTGTACTCGTGCGGGCAAGCATTATTTGGGGTGGGGGGAAGAGGAGCACCTCCTTACCCTGCGTGCTCACAGCCACGTGGAGGGTGAAACGGGGGTCCCCCACACCAGGGGCTGGGTGGGCGCCGGGAGCCAAGCTAGCGGAGGGAGAGCCCGGGGGCGCCTGGGAGAAGAGCCCGGAAGACGCCGGGGTGGTCTGAGCATCTCCTGCATCAGCAGTGACAAACACACCGTCAGGATTGAGCCTGTCACGCCCCCACGCCACGCCAAGAGCCGGTTGCACAGAGAGCTGCCTGCAACCTCAACCACAACCCTGCAGGGTAGGCTCAGACATTTTATAGACCAAAAGCAGGGGTCTCCAACCTTGGCCACTTTAAGACTTGTGGACTTCAACTCCCAGAATTCCTCAGCCAACCTTGGCCATTTTAAGACTTGAGGACTTGAAGTCCCCAAGTCTTAAAGTGGCCAAGGTTGGAGACCCCTGACCTGAGGGATTTGAACCCTGCTCCATCCCAGCATACTTGTGAGAAGGATAAAGGGCTCAATGAAGCCCCACAAGCAAGGGAGGTTTGCAAGCATTGGGGAGGGGGACTTAGGGTGGGCCCAAAGATCCCAACCGCCTCATGCAGGAGGAAAATGGAAAGAGCATTTTGGGGTGCTAAGAAATACCCTCCTCTGCCTTCCTTCCCCCTAAGATTCCCCGCCTCAGCCGCTTCCTTTAGCACTCTAATGATACCCCCCCCCACCCTTCTCAGTCTCTCTCTCTCTCTCTCTCTCTCCTCCCCCCCCAATTCAATCAAGGGAATTTGCTCCCCTGCTGTGCAATTAATGGACTTGCTTAGGGATTTAATTGCCTTCCTTCCAAGGGATTAACTTCACAGTTGCCCAGTTGGGAGGAAGCGGGAGGGGAGGGGAGGGAGGGGAAGAGACCCCTCCAGTGATCCTGGCTGGAGGAGTATGGGGGGGTGGGCTGCCCCCCTTTTCTCCCCAGCAAAGCAACGGGGTGGGGGCACTGATCATTCACCAAAGACAGAAAGCAAGAAATGGTGTGCCTGGTTTGTGGTCCCTTGGCATCCTCACCACGCCAGCAATGGCCCCCCCGTCTTCTTTGCAGAGGCTGCCCCCCCTCCCCAAGAACCTCCACAGACCCCCCCACCCCCACCCCAAATATTTACAGGCCGCCCATCCTCTTTTGCCCTGGGCTCCCTGGAGGCGCCCGTCCTACCCAAACAGACGAGGGACACGTTTCGCAAGACCATCTTGACTCTGTGAGAGGTGGGGGGGGGGGGGGGTCCCACTCTTTCCCAGAGGGGAATCTCCCCCACCTTGGCAATTTGGGGAAGTGGAACCAAGCTTGCAGGCTGGGAGAAACTTAACCTGCATGTCTGAAATAGCCATAAATGCCAGTCAATGCCTGTCCGTCCATCACACCCTAAAATGCACCGTTTAGGACAATGACTGTCAAACTTGGGCACTTTACAGAGGGGTGGACTTCTGGCTGGGGAATTCTGGGAGTTGAAGTCCACCCCTCTTTAAAGTGCCCAAGTTTGATTGACACGGGTTTAGGAACGGGGAGATGCGGCCGAAAAGCAGGAAGACATGATGGAAGGAAGGAAGGAAGATGAATGATGGGAAAGCAGGTCTGGGAAAGACAACAGGGGGTTACTGACCATAGGCAGAGTCGCTGAGACTGTCGTGTTCCCCCGTGGAGGTCACACCGTCTGGAATGGAAAGGGGGCAAGTCAGGGGAAGGGACCTTGTGGGTCATCTAGTCCAACCCACCGCCCAAGCGGGAGACCCTACACCATTTCTGACCAATGGCAGTCCAATCTCTTGTTGAAAGTCTCAAGTGATGAAGCTCCCACAACTTCCCAGGGCAACTTCTGTTCCAATGGGTTGATTGTAGGGAATTCAAATTCACATTCAAAGGGAATCATAAGGTGGCTGTAGGGTTTGGCCCACGGGTGGGCATGACACAGGTGGATTTTAGGGGGGGGGTCTTGAGCCAGTTTCTACTTCTCCGAAAATCACCCACCTTGACAATCGGCCGAGGGCTTGGCGGAGTTTTCCAGCTCTTGTTCAAATCCGCTTCTGCAGGGAAGCGAGAGAAGAGATGCCTCGTTAAATTAATTAGCGGCTGCTAATTAGTCAATTGGGCAACATCCAGAAGGGGAGGAAAGCAGCATTCACACCAAGGGCCCAGGACTGACTCCCTTTCTTGGCTCGCTTGGGTTCAGGACTGGCAAACGGGGAGAAGATTGGACCAAGATGGGGTGATGGAGGTTGTGGGAAGGATGATGCTAAGAGAGAGAGAGAGAGAGAGAGAGAGAGAGAGAGAGAAGGGGTCTCTTCGTGTATGCTAAAATTCTGTTTGCTTTTTTTAAAAAATCGAATTTTGTTTTTTAATCTAAGCTGCTCGAAAAGCATGTTTCTAGTCCTCACGGCTGGAAAGGAGGAAAAATGCAAGAAACCCCCCCAACCCAAATTCAAAGTTTTTGCTTTCTAAATTCCAGGCAGAATAAGGAACGGGAGCAGTTGTTTCATTTCAATTTTTAAAACAAAATAAAAATAAAAATAAAAACGAGTTCTTTTTCCAGCATGGATTCAAAGGGAATAAATAAAAGATGAGCGGGATAGGCAACACTTAAAAGTAATACAATGAGGCCTTTTGGATGACCTGATTTCGTGGCCGAAGTTTGCACAAGTCCCGGAGGGCAGCCAAACGCAGTAGGGATCTCGGGAAGCCAGGCAGCTCCTGCGAGGAGAGAGAAAGAGAGAGAGGAGGAGGGGGAATGTTTGCACTCATGCCCCCCCCCCCCCGCTTAGAACTGGGGGTGGGTGGGAGAAATCTGCTCCACAGGGTTGTTGTGCGCACTGACCCCTCCGTGTTTCTCGAAGGAGAAGCACAACTGGAAGGAGGGAGAGGAAGGCTGGGCTCCCTGCTATGGAGCACAATAGAGCCCCCAGAGAGAGGGGCAGTCTATCCTGGTTCTTTCTTCAAACTCCAAAGCCCATGGGTCCCTCCCCTGGACTACAGTTCCACCCTCTCCTCAGGCACCCTTCTCAGGTTCCCACTCGCAGGATAAGGTGAGACGCCGGGCTCCTCGACTCGCCTACCTGCGGCAGGTGCTGTGGGACCCACAGCGGCTGAGGGGCATCTGGACCACGCAGCCGGAGAAGGCCACGTAGAGTGCGTGGTTTACTTTGTCCAGCTGGAGCCCCAGGACCTGTCGGTCCTCACGCTTCACGCTACACCTGGGCAGGTAAGGGAGAGAAGGGCAGGGGTGAATTCTCTCGTTCTTTTGGCAAACTCTGTGTGTATGTGTGTGTGTGTGTGTGTGTGTATGTGTGTATGTGTATCTACCTACCTACCTGCCTACCTACCTGCCTACCTACCTGCCTCCCTACCTACTTATTTTTCTAATTATCATCTCATCTATCTAGCATCTTATAGTATCTATCTACCTACATCTCTTTTTAGCCAATCTATCAGTTCTCTCTGTAAACTTTGTCTTTATATTTACTATCATTTCTCTTTCTAATGTTTTTCTATCTATCTATCTATCTATCTATCTATCTATCTATCTATCTTTTTAAAAAAATTTTTTTTAAAAAAGCAGAATGGGGTTGAAAATGAGCAGAATTCCACCAGAGGCCTGCAAAAGTCACAGGTAGGGGTGTGTGTGTGTGTGTGTCTGAAGCCCGAGGTTCTGCACTGATTTCTAGTTGTCCTTTCTCAACGGCCGGGCAGGAGGGGCCACTGAATCGGGAGGCCAGCGGTGGGCCCTCCGGGGGCTCCTACCGGGAGGGCTGGTAGACGGAGACCTCTTCCAGGAGGAGCGTCTGCACCGTGTGGTTGCCGGCGAGCCAGGAGAGCACCTTCAGCACGGCTCCATCTTCCGAGCCTAGGAACAGGACGGTGTTGTTCCGGAAAGGACCGGCGGAGGGGTCCACGGCCAGGCGGGTCAGCCGGTACCTGCGAGGGAAGGGAGGACGCGGAGAGGTAAGCGGGGCCGCAGTAACCGAGATGCTTGGGAAGGAAGGCGGCCGAAGGGACCCGCTCCTACCGGCTGGAGGTCTTGGTGAACCAGGGCTGCTCGGCCACGGAGGCCACGGCGTCGTCCAGGAGAGGGTGGGACTTGATGAAGCTCAACGTGGTGTCCGGAAAGTCGTTGGAGGTCCGGTACCCTGAGGCTTGGCCCACCCCAGCGCAGCTGCCAGGTCTACAGAGGGAGAGACCACCCCTCCAATAAATGACAGGAGGCAGGAGAGAGACACGGTGGAGCCCAGCAAGGAGATGTCCTGCTGGCTTTGGAACGCAGCCTTGAGACGCTGAGGACTAGAAGTTTTGCTCTGGTTAGGGAGAAGCGGCTGATGAGGATCCTCGGTTTGCCCTGCAGCATCGGGGGCTCCGTTTCCCCAACTCCCTGTGGCCAGGACTGCCCCCCTCCTTCCCCATCGGTCCCCTGCATTTCTTCAAACTTGGGCTCCAAGCTTTCTAAAAAGCTTCTTTTCACGAGAGGCGGTAACTCAGGGGTCTCCGTGTCTCTTAGGGGCTAGAAACTTGATTGTATAATTTAGTTCGGAGAGATGAGAGGGGAGGGAGGAAGCACACAGTTGGGTCAAAAGAGGTTGGAGGGGAAGTGGAGAGGGGCAGAAGGAAGGGAGGGAGGGAGGGAGGGAGGGAAGGAAGGAAGGAAAAAATACCTGGGGGTCGGGACTTTGTCCTCGGAGATGGGGGTCCAGCCGGCATCCGCGTTTTTCTGCTCTTTGAACCGCCCATCGAAGACCCTCCCCACTTCGTCCATGTCGAAGGTGCAGACGGCTGAGCCGGTGATGCTGGGTCAAAAGGGAGCCCCAAAACAGCCTCAGAATCCCGCCAGTCTCCCCCTCCGCAGGACCTGCACTCGGCTCTCACCAAGCGTCCAGACCCAGGCAGGGATTGCGGCCGGCTGAGCTCACCTGTTGGACTGGGTGGTGAAGACGGCGAAGACGGACGGGCGGCCGTTGACCAGGATGACGTCGGTGACGGCCTGGAGGACGTCGAAGTAGAAGAAGGCGTCTCCGGGGACCGAGCAGTTGAGCCGGGCCTTCAGGAAGGAGGTCCAGTACTTCTCCAGCACCCGAGGGGAGCCCCCCATGTCGTTCTTGCAGACCCTCCCCACGCGGGAAAAGATCACCTGGGAGGAAGAGAGGCGGAGGTGAGACCCCCTGAAACCCCTTCCCTGTGCAGGCCTAGCAGAGAACGAAGCGTGCAGAGCAGAGCCTCCGTGTACAGGAGCAGCGTGCTTTGAGTCCCTGTCCAGCGCGAAAAGAGGCTTCCTCAAGGCAGGAAGAAGAGAAGGGCAAGCCCAGGTGGAGCCTCCACAGACAGAGGCAGTCTCTCTTAAGGACAGATGCAGAGGGAACGTTTTGCAGAGCGAATTGGACGAAGTGACTCGAATCCAGTTCGCCAGCGGTCTTTTCACAATCCGGAAGAAGAAGAAGAAGCGGAGGGAGGGGATTCCCACCCCACGGTTCTTCTCCAGGCCCTTCCTGACACGGGGCGACGTGGCCACTCACCCGTCCCAGCGTGGTATATTCCACGGAGATCTCACGGAAGAAGAAATAGACATACTCCCGGTATTCCAGAGCGTGGATGAAATGAGGCTCTGTGGGGAGAAAGCGGTGCTGAGAAACTGGCGGGGGCAAGGATGAGCATTTTCGAAGGGATGGGGTGGGGGGGAGGACCCGACAGTCTCTGAGCATGAGCAGAGAGCCAGAGAGGGTGAAGACAGTTTGGGGGGGGGGCTCCGAGGCTTCCTCACCTCGTAACCACTTGGAGTCGTATTTGACCGTCCGCAGCACGGGGTTGCGCTCCCCCAGGCTCCGATAGATCACCGCATCGCTGGCTTGGAAGTCGGCTACGGTGGCAGAATAAAGGTTCCCGTCTGGAAAGGAGGCGAGAAGGGGAGGAAATTGGGGGGGGGCTGGCCAATCAAGGGGTGTCCAGGCTTCCAGGAGCCACTTCCTTATCAGCAGGGGAAGAGAAGCCGGCGTCCGTTGCTGTCAAATCCTTCGTGGTTCCGGTTCCCCATTTTTCCAGCCTCTTTCCCAAGCCCCACCCCCTTAAATCTCCTTGTTCATGGATCGCCCCCCCCCTCGTTAACTCTATATCCAAATTATTTCGGTGGTTGCCCAGCTCACCCCAGGGACGCCGTCTCCCACGCGGGGGAAACAGTTGGGGTGGAGTCGGCGTTTAGCAGGACTTGAAGAAGGCAGAGAAGTGGATTTAGTCTGTGAAACAGCCCTGGGGGTGGGGGTGGGGGGGTTACAGAGAGGGGGGTCTTTTAGGGGCAAACCTACCGGCAAAGATGGCCACGTTGGTCTGCTTGGTATCGAAGGGGCATCGCGCCTGGCCGTTCAGCTCCTCGCCTTCCTGTTGAAAGTCGCTGATCTAGCGGCCAAGGGGAAGGGCGGGGTCAATCAAAGCCCCTCCTCCAGGGGAAGAAGCCCCGCCTCTAAAGCCCCCCCCAAAGCCTCCCCTCTTCCCAGAGCCTTGATGGAGACCCAGAGCTCCTTCCTAGGCAGTGGGCCGGATGGAGAGTCCCCCCCCCAAAAAGCCTCGCTTGCTCCTACCTTGTACGTCCGGCACACTGGGTGGAAAGCGTTGGTGCCGCAGGCCAGGAGGCTCCGGTCGTTCTTGGGCACCAAAACTTTGATGTAGTTGTAACATTCGTCCTGGGGGGTTGGGAGGGGAAGGTCAGCCCCGATGCCCAGCGGGGGAGGGCAAGGGTACGGGGAGGGGGGAGGGGGTGCCCACTGACTGGGCCGTTCTTACCCGAAGCTTCCCGCGGACGGCACAGTTCTCTACGTCCTGCGTCTTCCAGGTGAGATGCTGGGAAGGAAAGGCGGGAACGTCAGAAGGAGGCAGGGAAACCCGGGTCAGGAAACAACTGCAGTGATTCACTTAAAGACTGGGGCAAGAATGGTCGTAACATGGGCAAAACTCACTGAACACCTGTCTCGCTTAGTAACAGAAATATTGGGCTGTATCATGGTCATAAATCAAGGACGATTGGTAATGGCATCTTGCAGTCTGTCAGCCTAACCAAAAGCCTCCATTCGGCTAATTTTGGAAATGACCTGGAATCCACCCTCTGCTGCCTTCTAAGACAACCCAAACTAGGTTTAAATCAGCTGGCTTCTACCTGACATGCGGGGAGGATGATGGTGCTTGTAGTCCAGCAAGAGGCAGAGATTGACCATCAATGCCCAGGTTTCTGTATTTGTAGGCCTGGAAATTGTGCGCACAAAATGTAAAGGGAAAGAGGAAAAAAGGACAAAGGGAGGGAGGAACGTGGGAAAAAAATATCCAAAAACTTGATATTGGGGCACGAACGAAGGAAAATGGAACCCAGAAAAGAAAAACAGCCCCTCTGACAAGCCAATTTTTTCCTGTGGACTTCGAAACAAACTTTCTCGCTGGAAGTCAAACAATAACAACAAAAAAGAACAATGTAAAACTTTCTGGAAAACTTTCACAGGCTGGGAGAAAGTGAAAAGGGGGTGACCCTCCTCTCCAAAGGCTGGGCACCAGCAAGGACATCCAGCTCACCCTCTTGGGAGAGAAACTGCTTGCGGTCTGTCCGAGGTCAAAAGCGAAGACGTGGTCCCTAAAATCCAGAAAGGGACAGGAGAGAAAGAGGGAAGGGAGAGAAAGAGAGAAACAAACCTTTAGATTAGCATTTTAAAAAGGTCCAGAGTTGGAAAACAGTTTTGTTATGTGTTTTGGAGCTGGGAAGAGCCCCTGATTTTTAAATCTCCGCATCCAAATTTGGTGGGAAAGGAGAAGAAAAGTAGAGAAACCCCCTCATTCTGGATGCTAATTTCCATTTTCTCAAGCTCTGCCCGAACCGTTCGCTTTTCGCGGTGGGTTCTGCCCCTCTCGGGCAGGGAATTGGTGCGTCTCCTGAAATTTTCAATCGTGCCTGAATTTATGGACCCGCTGCCCACAAACTCACCTTTTGGCCCGGCTTCCTACCCCAGAAAGAGGGTGCCACAGCCACCCCTCCCTCCACCCCCTTTTCTCCTTCTCCACATCTCTGGCATCGGGAGGGAAAATATAGCACTGAACTCTGGAGGTTGCAGGCGGCTCCCCTCCCCTCAAAACTGCTCCCAAGGTCTCACTTTAATGGGAGCTGTGGGGAAGGAAGAGACCCCCCCCTCCTCCCTCGCTTACCGGGCAGCCACGAAGAGCGTCTGGTTAATTTGCAACATGCTTTGGAAGTCCAGGCCCAAAGCAGCGTGGGAGTCATTCTCTCCCGCCAAGCCACGGAAGGAGGGATACAGGTGGGTTCCTGGTGGGGAGAAAACACGATGAAGAGCGTCTGATACGGCCTCCTGCCTTGGGCGGGGAGGGGGGGGAGGGAATGGACTAGAAGATCTCTAAGGCCCCCTCCAGCCCGAGATTCTATCCAAAAGGAGGAAAGGGTTGTGCATAAGCAGGTTTTGGGTTTACAGTGGGGGGTGTGTGTGAAGGAGGGAAGCCAAACCTGTGATTTTTCTCATGCGAATCCTTTCTCCAGGGGTGGGATCAAGAGAGCGGGGTGGGGCAAGAGGCCCCCCAAGGGCCGGCCTGGGGTTGGCAAGGGAGGGGAGGGCCTCACCTGCCTCGCTGACCACGTGGAAGGGAGCCAGGTCTTTGGGGAAGGAAGACGCCGCCGACGCCAGGAAGAGAAACAGAGCAGGCAGGGGAGAGGTCAGGACCATCCTTTCCAGGGGGGCCGAGGGGATCCGGGGCGGCCGGAGGGAGCCTACGAGTCCAGCATGCTCCCACCCTGCAAGAGGAGGATTGGCGTCTCAACGTCCGGGGGGGGGGGCACAAAAAGGAAAGACACGGGGCCTTCTCGGTGGTGGCTCCCCAAAAGGGCACTTGATTCCCCCCAGAACGGCTCAGCGGGATCTCCGAGGGCTGCAACTCCCACCTGAAGCAGCAGCAGCAGCAGCCAGCCTCCCCCCAACCCAGATACTCCAGAACCCTTGGACTACAGCTCCCATCATCCACAATCAGCCTGGCCGGATGGCTTTGCAGAAAAGGAGCTGTTTCCACCGGCTCTCTGGACAAAGCAGAGATTAACGGAAGGCCAGTTTAAGGCGCCCTCCGGTTCCAGCCTTCCAGCTACAATAAACAGCTTTCCCAGGAAAACCTCTCAGCTTTCCCAAGGGGAATTTCCTCCCCACAAGGATTTCTCCCCGCCCTCCCCCAGGTCATTACCAGCCTCCCTTCTGGGGAGGGGGTGAGCAGGGGAGGGCAGAGGCACCTGGGCAACGTCATAAAGGAGGAAGCGCAGGGCACTCTTGACGTGTGTGCGGTCTCCCTTGGGCACCGGCGGGCAAGAGAAACCCCAGGTGGGGTGCCAGGGTAATTCCGGGGGGGGGGGCAGAGCAGCCCCTTCCACAGCAAAATCTCTGCCCCTCCCCCAACTGGATGGAAGTGGCTGGATTTGGGCAGAGCTTGACCTGTCCCTGGTCTTGGGACGGGATGAACAACCGTGCCACTAACTTACCAACTGCAGAGATTCACTTAACGACCCCCCAACCTACCCCCCCCCCCCCCCCAAGGTGGTTGAGATCCAGGCCAGAAGAGAGGCGTGAAAGGCAAGACGTGCCTACCTCGCAGGGCTGTTGTGAAGCCAAGGAGGCCCGTTGGCTAACGGGGTGGGCAGGGGCAGCATCCGATGCCGGGAAGGAAGTGAAACAGGATTTGTAGCATCCTGGACGATGCCAGGCGCTATAAATAGTGGGAAAGGAGACACCCGCTTTGGCCACTGGTGGCCACCATGGGAGGGGTGTGTGTGTGTGTGTGTGTGATATTTATGGAGGCAACACTCATGCTGTGCAGGAAAGGGCAGGTCGCGCTGCCAAGAGGTTTCCCAAAAGAAAAGGGCAAACCGATTCCCAACCCCAGAGAAGAGATAAGGCTTGATTTTTCAAGCGCAAACAAAACCCAGACAGGTTTCTAGTCCTCAGGACGGAGCGCCTTTCAAGCTAGCAAGTCATCTCTTCTAGCCACATTCGCACGCAGACAGAGAGAAAGTGCAGAGTTGCAGGTTTTGTGTGCAAAGAAGCGGTTTAGCCAGTCCCAAGTGCCGGGCTGCCTTCCCTGCCATCGGCTTTGGCTTTTCCGCATGTCACCCGCACCTCTGCGTGGGTAGATTTGCATGCTCTCTTTTTGCCCCCCTTTCTCTCCAGACTCCCCTTCCCCAAGTGAGCCACAAGGTGAGAAAAAAATCCAGGCCTGGATTTGTTTACACTTCTGAAGCTGAACTTTCCAGCGGGTGTATAATTAGAAGCAAGAACTCGGCGGGGGAATTGCTTTCATAATAATTCCATATTGATATTTTTATCTCATCTGCAGGAGCCGCGGGAAAAGGCTGGGGGGTGTGTGTGGAAACGGGTCGGCTCCATCCGCCTGGAGTGTGTCCCCCCCCTCCCCCCAGTTGCGAGAAATGGGCCCAAGAGGCAGGAAGATGCAGAATTGGGATCTTGGGGATCAGTTTGCAAGGGGGGCGGGGCTCAGGGGGGGTCCCTCTACAGGTGTGTCTTTCAACCTTGGCACCTTTAAGGGGGGTGGACTTCAACTCCCAGAATCCCCTAGCTGGCAAGGGACTTCAACTCCCAGAATTCCATGGCTGCTGGTTAGCAGTTCTTTCTTTTAAAATTTTCTGCTATTTTCTGTTATTAAATTATTCTGTTTAAAATATTCTGTTCTTTTAAAAACTCCAGTCAGACTTTTTCTAATTCGGGGGGGGGGGGGGTTCTGTGTCAGATCCGGAAAGCGTGCGAAAGGGAGGGAGGAGGGACCCCTGTTACAGTGAGAAGCTGCCACCGTGTCAGCACTTCCCTGAGCCATCTGTCAGGCACAACTCTGTCACTATAAATACAACTCAAACGCCGCCGTTGCCGCCACCGAAGGTTCTCAGCCTGGCATCTCAGCGCCAACCCACAGCCGAGCGGCTGCTGTGCCTCACCAGACAGTGCCGGGGGGGGGGGGGGGGGGGGGGAAGAGATTTCGAGAGAGATCTGTCCGATCGCGCACACACCCCCTGGCATCGGAGCCCCAGGTCTGCCCACCCTGAGCTGCCAGGCCTGCAGCAGGCAGGACGCCCCCCTCCAAGATGCTAGTCCTCATGGCAACCAGTTTGTGCGAGGTTCAAATCTGGCCTCTTTTTCTCCCGAGATGGAAATAGCTGAATCATGTGAAAACACTCACAGACACAGAGCAGGGAAGTCTTTTTCTTTTTCTTTCTTTCTTTCTTTCTTTCTTTCTTTCTTTCTTTCTTTCTTTCTTTCTTTCTTTCTTCTTTCTCTTTCTTTCTTCTTTCTTTCTTTCTTTCTTTCTTTTTATTTCTTTCTTTCCTTTCTTTCCTTCCTTCCTTCCTTCCTTCCTTCCTTTCTTTCTTTCCCTTTTTTAAAAAACCTTGCCTTCTGGCTACCAGAAAAATATCTCTTCCTTTGTCATCATTTTGAGCGGCTGAGCCAGGTTTCCTTCACTTAATGAGAGTCCCCAGGCTTTGGAATTATGAGAGAAATATATATATATATGTATTTCCAACGGGAGAGAAAATTGAAGCTTTTGTTGGCTATTTGCAGTGGCCTTTGTGCACCGGCAGATGTTGCAGTGAAATGATCTTCTAATGCAGTGGGAGTTTGCAAAAAAAATAAAATAAAATCAGTTTGGTGATGGCTGCTGGCTGTGGAATTCTGGGAGCTGTAGTTTTTACCCATCGTAAAGTGCCTGGGGGATTCTGGGAGTTGTAGTCCGCCCATCTGAAACTTTCCAGGTTGAGGAAGATCCCTTCCAAGAAACCCATCCACGCCTGAGTGGCAGCCTCAGGGTGGCACCCCGGGTCCTACGAGAAGTTTGGCAGGAGAATAATTGCACCACGGGGGTGACATTTTTTTCAGGGGGGTGACCCACCCCTCTTTGCGTCGCGTGAGGAAACCTCCAAGAGGAAAACAATTCGGTAGAAGAACAGACTAAAAACACTCCAAGGACATCTCGGTCCGTCCCAGAAATGCCTTTTTTCTTTTCTTTTTTTAAACGTCTCCCAAGTTGCCAATCCGGGGTGCCCCAAAGTGAGCCAACCTTGGCTGAAGAGGAAAGGGTGGCCGAAGATTCAAAGCCCCCCCCCCCAAACTCAGCACTTATAGAGGGGCGGGGGAGGGGAGAAAGAAGGGGAGGCTCCATTTATTTATTTTTGGCCTTCAGACAGACTTTGCCTGGACATGGAGGTTCCATTCTGAGCACCAAAGCCATTGGCTTAGGAGTCCTGCAGCCATTTCCATTGCATTGCACTTTTTTTTTAAAAAAAAAGATGAACAATGTTTAGCCCAGACCCATTGAAATGATTCCAGGGTGGGGTGGGGGGAGAGGAGAAAATTGGGGGGCTTGGGGGGGATTTCTGGATGTTCTCCCCAAAGGACAAGCACAGAAAAGGCCAGCACACACACACACACACACCCCTGTGTGCCCACAGGCAGCCCCCCCCTCCGCCTAGCCAAATCCAGGTATCAAAATCTCATTACCGAAGACTTATGGACTCCCGGCTGCTAAAGCCGCCCCCCCTTCCCTGCCCCCCCTTTTCTTCCATTGCCAGAGGAAGGGTCCCCACAGAAAACGGCCCCTGCCTGCCCCACAAATGGAGATGTTGCAGCGGGGTGGGGTGGGGGTAACCCACATATTTCCGGTGCCTGATGCTGGGTGCTTGGGACCTGAGCAGCCTTCTAGCCCTCATGAAGGAGAAGGGAAGCTACCCCGGATGGACACCTTGCAAAATAATTGGGGTTTTTTCTTTCTTTCTTTCTCCCCGCTCTCTGTTTAGAAAGGCCTAAATAAACAGAGGTCAGCTTGAATTAGAGGGGGGGGCTTGTTTGCTTCAAAATCAGCTAATGGAATAAATAATAAATAGATAAATCTGCCTTTTGGGCTCAGATGTTCTGTTTGGGGCAAAGCACCCCAGGATAACGCACTGCTGATTTTTGCAGCGAACAGCTTAGCCAAAGAAAAAATACACCCCTGCAAGTTTCTAGTCCTCAGGGTTTGGCCAGATCTGGGCAGCAGGGGCTTTGCGAGGGAGGCCTCCCTCCGCTTTATTTCTCGGTTATTAAATCAAGGACCTCCGGCGTCATCTCCCACCTTCGCATGGGGCTCCCAGCCGACCAGGACAACAGAAACGGAGATCATTTTTTCTCTGGAAAGGCAGGCGAAACAGCTTCCCAACTCTTGACAGGCAGCAGAATGGCTGCCCGGTAAGAAGATGCGACGACGGTCTGTGGAAACGTATCAGGCCTTCTGCCAGGGCTTGGGGGGGGGGGGGGGGGGGGGGGGTGGGGGGGGGGGCGAGGGGGAGGCAGAAAGAGGGGAGCCTTCCTTTTTATTTTAAATATATGCCATTCTGCAAAGCACGGCATCCCTCCCTCTTCTTTGGCGTCCTTCCCATCCTCAGGAACGAACTGCTGCTACCGGAAGCGACAACTGGCAGGAGAGGAGGGGGCTGGAATACAGATGCAGCTCTGCCGGGCCCAGCAGAAATGCTTTATTGCTTCCTGGGTGGGGGAGGGTCTTTGTCCCACCAGCCACAGCCACCTCCACTCACCCTCCAGCTCCGGTCTACGTGCCAGCCCACTGGAGGTGGGTTTTGGGGTGCCTTGGCACAGGCTAACCAAGCTAAGAAGGAGCAAATTGATGGTTGAGGGGGGCCTTTGGCCTGGTTTCTGGGAAGCTGCACCTGCTGTCACTTTAAAAGATGCCAAAAAAGGAGAATATTTGTAGCTT